CAACACGAGAGGTTGGCACGTCATCAACCTGAGTCAACTGGCGGGGTTCGAGTTGGTTCGAGTGAACGATCGCGCAGTCAACTCGCACGTCTTCATGAAAAGCACCTGAATCAGAATCAATCAGTTCCGCACGTTCAGTTAGGTTCTACGAGATTCGGAAAGCCCGGTTCCCGGAAACCGCTTCACGCCACGAAGACGCACCAGCTCGTCGGAGCACCGGAATCAGCACCTTGACCAAAAGCCGATCAAAAACATCCCACGCACCCCATCTCATGAGGAGACATAAGCCGGAACCCAAAGGGTCACCTGCCTTTGCCTGCCTTTGGTGACTTCCAGTCGATTCTATGGCTAGGGCGTATCAATAAGCGCGTGAGAAGTCTGGTCATGAGGCAAACAAGCGATTCTTCGAGGCTTTCCCTTGTCCTTCTTTATTCCTACCTATTTGCGATGCCCTCCACCCGAATTGCGATGGCCTCCAACCGCCAAACTCATGATGTGTGGAGTTGGTCAAGCGACGAAAAGACTTGAAGGGAGAGATTTCAGAGTCTGATGCCAAGACAGCCGAGAGTGGCTTCATCCGAATCAAATCGCACGAAACTGAAGTTGAAACAGAAACCAATGCTTCTTGCTACTACTAGTGAGGCACTTGCTCCTAGTAGCGATGCACTTGTTTCTACTAGCTTCTTGTTACTACTATATAACGAATGCACACGAATGCCGATCGCATTCTCAAATTCATCTCCACGTTCGTTTGACGAATGCTGATCTTCTCGTGTTTGCTGAAGCCCCTTGCACAAATGGTTTATGAAGGTGCACAATCAGAACGACCAAGCGGGCAAAAGGAGCAAAGAAATAGCGGAATGAACCGGAGATTCAATGAATTGATAGATCAATCAACAGAATCGCGAGGAATCAAGAAACAAACGACAGAGTGTCATGTGAAAAACGTCACTGACTCAGGCTGCGACAAATGCGAAAACTGCAGCATCACGCCCCGTTCGAACGAGACGAACATCGCCGTTGGCGATGCGCGTTGCGATGGGACCGTTCTCAGCACGCACACGTGGGCCACCGGAACGAGCGACGCAGTCACATCTCGCCGCGGCGACCGGACGAACGCGACCGAATTGCAAAGTGACACATCACTTGTTGTGCCTAAGCTTCTGAAAGGTGTCTAATCAGCCCTTTTGAAGCGCAGTGCGAAACATTCATTTGAACGGAGACCCGAAGCGCATCCATGTCGTCCATGTGTCCCTTGTCATCCCCGCGTTGAGCGGCTTGATGCAGTTCAAGACCTGACAGAACACTGCCGAAGTCAAATCCAGCCAGTCCAAATACCGCAAGTCGTCTTCGAGCAAACTCAAGCCTCGCTCGTCACATTGGCAAGCTATCAGAAACATCACTCACACTTCGCAGTCCACCGGGGCCAGGAAGACGTGGAAAGGCCGAGCCGCTCTGTCCTCACCGCTCGACGCCAAAAAATATAGAACATGCTCAAAAAGCAACTAAAACATCCTTCTGGGTGAGAAACCAAAGCCGTACACACAGTTCACTTAATGATGTAAATTTCGTATGTTTGAGGTTCATGGTGGTTGAAAATTTGAGACGCCTTGACTGTGCTTCTGCAAATGCAAGCGTTTTAGGGTACAAACAAAAGCTGGTGCTGTTTTTGAAGCCTCGTTTCGTGAGAAACGCGCAATTCCCGCAGCCTGTCGGTACTTGACACAAACCGCCGTACATGTTGGGTACAAGGAAACCCCTCCTCGCTTTACGCGTCACGTGTTGCAAAGACTTGACCCCTATCCTCAGATCGGGGTCTCATAGGGTCGAGCAGTTCACTGCACTCTGGTGATGGGCGCGGGGAACTCGCCCTACCTTACGAGGACGCCCCTCTTTCTAAGCTTCACCGTGTTGTAGTTAAAATTGCTTGCTCCCCCCCATCAGAGGGGGCATTACCTGGCTAGTGCTGCGCGGAGATCCAGCAGCTCGCTTGTGTGTGCACACGGATGTAGCACCCGGCAAGTCAGCCTGTCTCGACTGATATGACTTGCAAACTCACTTTGTGGAGCAACTTTTATTGTCACACTATGATGTAGTAGGGGAACCACTGAGACTGAGCCTTCCGCTGGGAGGGCCTGGTGTGTAAACCGCTATCGCATGCGGCAAGTTGACCTGTCTTTACTGACCTGATTTACAAACTTGTGTGGATTCAGGTAGAAGGGGAGCGGTGGGCATTCCTGAAGTCACCGCTCAGCGAAGACACTTCAAGCTTGTTGTGAAATGCAATCTGGACGCAGATTGCACGTTACTACATTGCCTGTTTTTCAGTGTTTTCAAGCTGTGACTCAAGTCAGAAGCTACTAGTAACAAGTGCCTTACTAGTAGTAACAAGAAGCTATTAGAAACAAGTGCCTTACTACTAGTAACAATAAGACTTTAATTAGAATTTTTCAACTTTGACTTCACTCTTTCGACGTTTCACCTCAACAGGTTCATTTGGAGATTGTGAACTTAGGAGGCTAGCGACTTCGTTCTTCACCTTAACCCTTGAAAGTGTGTGTGTGTGCTTGTCAAACCCCTTAGCTCGTCAGCACCATCATGGCACAGTTCATTTCAAGACATCAAGAAGCACATCCAAAACGAAGACTCCTCAAATCATCTCGTTCCAAACATTGTGGACTGCTTGATTCCTTTGCTACTCTCCAAAGGTTCATGTGTGGAGGCATGGGGCAGGCCCACAACAAGAAATCCACGGTACCCAATGGATTGCCTTCAAGAAGAAATTGCAACAAAGAGCGCAAAGGCTTCATAGTCTCAAAGTCTTCAAAGGCTTGATGGCCTCCAACCTACCGGGACCATGATGAGAGGCAAATTGGAAGATTGACTTAAACTCCGCGTTCTAATGATTCGACCTTCGAAGAGGCAAGGCCCCTTCTCCGTTCGAAAAAGAATTCAACATGGTTCAACTTAAAAACAGAATTTGCCACATGACATCACATGAAAATGATCGCCAAACTTAGGAAACACATCACAAAAAAGAAACTGATTAAACAAAATGTTAAGGAATCGTCTCTCATGGCATAACTTCTTTGAATGTTCCTTCATCCCGTATCCTGAGCGGCCGCCATCTCGATCGTCCACATCCGTGCGGAGATCGGAGCATCGAGAGAGATCGAGATCTGCATCCTTTCGCTAACTTAGTGATCGGATGCTCCTAGTAGCTTCTTGTTACTACTAGTAAGGCACTTGCTCCTAGTAGCGTGGCACTTGTTCCTAGTAGCGTCCTTGCTCCTACTAGTAAGGATGCTTCTTACGTTCGTAGTACGGCCAGGAGCCCCGTTCGTAGCGTCCCATCGCTCCTAGCTTCTCGGTCGAAGTTGCTTGTACATCTTACTTGGTACACCTCAGTGAGAGGCTAGGCGCCAAGGCATAGTGAAGCTTTTAGAGGAAGTACTGAACGTTCGTGGCACGACGCCACCACGTGCCACGTAGCGAGCCGATGAGCTCAGCTGGGAGGCTCACGAGGCTCACGACCATGTCACTGTCACCGTCCGTGTCACGGTCTTCTCTGTGAACACTCAGAAGGGACTTCAGGTCAGCAATGGCCTCGCTATATGACTCCCAGTGTTCACAAGACTCTCAACACCGAAGCCTCGTGTCCACTGACTTCAGCTTCACTCTGAACATCTGAAGATGGCATGCATTCGAGAAGAAAAACTCCCTCAAACTGCCTTTTTGCGTCTCAGAACCGACCTGATGATCTATTACAGCTGCGGAGTACAGTCAATCTTGTTTTAGCCAGCTCGGTTCTCCCTATCGACTTTTGCAGGTCACATGTGGCTTTATCGTATTCATGCCTCATGCGTTGCATGTGCGACTGTCGCCACTCCGCGTCGGCACCTAGCGCATCCTAGCACTGTGGCCTCTGTGGCTCGATGTGGCGGTCTAGGAGTTTCTAATTGCGATTGTTCGAAGCGATGCCAGCCCCTATAGTAGCGTCCGATCGCTCCGATGGTGCCTAAAGGCCTAAAGGGGCGATGCCGATGCGATGCCCTCCGAAGGCGACGAGCGGCGTCTCGAGAAGCGACGTGGAGCCGCATCGAGCGGACTGTGGTGCCGCGCTTCGCGTCATGTCAGACGCGGAAACGAGAAGGAAGGAACGAAGGAACGAAAGGACGAAGAACGGACAAAAGGTCCGGTCTGTTTTGGGCTTCGTGCTTCGGTCATGTCTCAAACGACCTCTTGGTGCTCGTGGCTCACTGGCACCGGGAGTGATTTCAATTGACTCAGAGTTGCCAATGAGTCGCGGAGTGTGGGAAGTTTCGGAGCAAAGTCTAAGCTGACACCGTCTCCACTTGACCCCACCTCTTGTGAAATAGCTAAGCATATGACTAGGTCGTTCATCCCAAGGTTCTCACAAGCACTTCCTGAATCAAGTCCATTCTGGCCCATTCTGCAGCCATTCTAACTCAGCTTCAGCTTGGCACTTCATCAACCTGCACGGTTCGACACAATTGCACGGTTCCTCGACCATGGCGGGATGGGACCGGCGCCTCGGTTCTTGAGACTGAAACGCCACGTTGACCAAGCTCTGCCGAGGAGCCCCATTCGTAGCTTCTTGTTACGTAGTAAGGCCAGGAGCCCCGTTCGTAGCGTCCCTTCTAAGTTGACTTCAGTTCACTTCAAGTCACTTGTGAGCTGTCTTTACTGCTGTCCTCTTTCTTGCACGTCTCAATCCCCATGTAAGTTGTCCTAGTCACCTAGTCTTGCAGGTCCTACAGTTCGTGCATGTTTGGGAGCATACACTGGATCTCAACATCTTCGCGAACTGATGCGAATCTGGTGTCTTAACAAAGCATGCAAGAAAAGCATGCATGATTTGGAAGAACCGAGAAGCTCCTGTGCTCCCAATCTCTGCCTTTGACTTCTCTGCTTCGCAGAATGTGAGGCAAGGAATGTGTGCACATATGTACATGTTATTGTTGTTCTTTGCATTTGCATCACTCAATCGTATAGACACGCCTGTACCAAATGATATACTCCGGGTACACTTGGTTTTCATCCTCAGCGGCTCTCTTGACGCGCAAGCTGCACACATTTGCAAGAACATGAAAAAACTGCACGTGCGCACAAAAACCTAAAGAAGTGTCGACCAAAAAAACCAACCAAATCGCAAGGTGTTTTGCAAGAAATTGGAAAAATCCGTCGTTTTGGCCGCTTTCGGCATTCGCGGGCGATGTAAGGCCCGACGGGCTGCTACCGAGGTGCATAAACAATGTATTCCTTGGACCAAGCAGAGCTATGCATAGGCTTTGTGTTACTAATGGTAGAAATGCTACTTGTAGTACAGCCAGGAGCGCCTAGTAGCATCCTTGCAGCGGGCGGAGGCCTTCGCTATTAGGTCGGAGGCCTTCGCTAGTAGGTAGATAGGAGGCCGGGGCTGTTAGGTTGGAGGCCAGGTTCTCTGAAAGATTATGAAAGACATACGCTATTAGGTTTTCAGTGCCCACAGTTGGAGCCCTCAGGCCCCTCTTCATCCAAGGAGCATTGTAAGCGCGCCTCCCCTTCACCGAATGGAAACCTCCAGCATGGCAGACCTTCACAAAATGGAGGCAAAGGTTGGTTCCTCCTGCCTACTTACTTCATTAAGCAGAGACTACCTATTTAATTAAGAATGGGGGTTGCCGTTTAGAGTAAGGGCAACTTCGAAACACGTAAACATCCCAAGGAGAGCACCCTTCGTGATGCAAACCCGCACCAAGTCTGACCCAGTCTTAAGAAGTTTAACTGGTCTCAACAAGAAGCTACTAGGAACAAGTGCATCGCTACTAGTAACAAGTGCCTCACTAGTAGTAACAATGTTTGCTAGTAGAAACAAGAAGCCTGTAATTAGAATTAAGTTTAATGTGAGTGATTGCGTCCTTGAGCATTGTCGCGCCTTCATGCATTCACGGCCACCCCCTTCTTGCTGAACAGCACGGCCCATAGTGCATCGACACAAAATCATTGTTCTAAGTCCTGTGGGATCTGGATCTGTATACTCCTCAGCTGGCATATGCAAGCTAGGCCAAACTGAACGAGTCAGTGAATTGGAAGGTAAAATGGTCAAGGGCAACATAAGCTTTAGCAAACTGTCTGCCATATTCTTGAAATTAATCTATTCCTCGAGTCCGAACAATGGAAGAAGAAAACATCAGGGCAAGAATAAGTAAGCTGCGCCTTGCCAAGGACGCATGTTTGGTGCTTTCCCCAGTGCTTGTGCCTCCTCCTCCTCCTCCTCCTCCTCTCTGCCCTGCACCAACTCAGCTCACTCAGCTCACTCACTGATCACTTGTCACTCAATGTGTGTTCACAATCTTACTTCACATCTGCGCTCATCATCATACAATCATCTACCATTCCTCTTCCTTCCGCTTTTGCGTCGACTTAACACAAAAGTTCGCTTTCTTGTGAGCTCACTTCAACCGTCGTAAATCTGCAAAGACTCGTCGCTCTTCGTCACCTTGGAAGACGCCAGTGACAACGTGTCGAATGGGGATGACCTCCACCCTACTACCAAAAGGAACCGGTAGCAAACGAAAGCACCTAGTTGCAAATTGCTCCTAGTAGTAGGGCCAGGAGCCCCTAGTAGCTTCTTGTCCCTACTAGCAAAAGGAGCCTAATAGGAATGGCCTCCAACCTAAGAGCGATGAATGGGGTTGCCTTTCTTTCAATTGAAACCTTCACGAGCTTCACCTTCGTGCTAGCCACGGCACAGAGTCAGCCAAGTAGATTCCTGGACCAAACATGGTGCCTCGATTGGTCCCAGCCATCCGGACCTGCAAATGCCACAAGGATGTTTCAAAATCGAATAAATTGAGGAATCTAATCCGCCGGCCCTTGGGCGCCGGCGTGTTTTATCAATGTGGCTTGTATGTAGCTTAAGTTATGTTGAATCTATATGTAATAAGAAAAAGTGTCTCTGGAGCAAGTTTTTGCTTCGTCTAACTTGAGCCCCCCCCTCCCCCCCCTCCCTCCCCAAGATCATCCCAAATGTATGTAGCTCACATATATCATGGCTAAAGTGAAAGGTTGTGTGCGTTTCCTTCTTATCGTCGTTTTTCTCTTGTCGTTGTCCATGCATTGCGCTTCTGCTTTGCATGCATTTTTCTCAGGTTTTGCACCTGCACTCACGTATCTATCGTTTTTTGCAGACTCAGACTGCTTGGAAATCCCCATGCCACACATGTCCTCATTACTCTCTTGCATCATGTCTGACGGAATGCTATGTACGTTTGCTGCTTCGCACGGTCTACTTCGCTCATTGTGTCACATGTCATATAATCTGTATTCTTGCTTGGCAGGCTATACTTTGCACCCCCCCAATTTCATCTCCCTGTTCTCTTATCGTATCACAACGCACGTCATTTCATGTAGGCTCCTCTGTTGCTCCAGCTGTGTTCTGGATGATGCTGTTACTTTTTCTGCTCTGTTGCAGTCTTTCCTCTTGACGCAAAAGGTAATCCGCATCTTGGGGCCATTGGCTGAAAAGGCCGGCGGAACAACCCGCAGGGTGTAAATAGCCTCCAAATTAGGGATGGCCTCCAACATACTAGCACATAAATGAACAAAGTATAAAGAACTTCCAAACGTTTATCTGTTCGTGTCTTCTCTACGTCTTTTGGCGCGAGACCACTGTCACTGCCGAGCCCGAACTGCGTTCATTGACACGTTTCGTCTTACTTTGTTTGACTATACGTGTCTTCTCTACGTCTTTTGGCACGAGACCACTGCCGAGGTTCTTTTCCTCCCACTTTAGAGCTACCACGGTTGGGTCACGCGCAGCTTCTGTCCAGCGGGGATCTTGCTTGCCATGGTCGCAGTCTCTTTCGATGTCTTCTTCACCTTGATCTCCTCATCGAACTGCATGGCCGAGTCCAACATCTTTCGCAAGATCTTGAAGGGAATGTTCTCCATTTCCACCTCGATCCGGTTGGCCGGTGTGAATCGATCATACCTGCCCTTGCTGAGATCGTCGGCTTCTTCATTCTGTTCTCGGGGAACCCAGCATAGGTCCAAGTCCAATCTGAAATCTTCCAACTGCTTGGCCAACTCCATGAGGACCAACGACAAGGGGAAGCGGGCGGTGAGGAATCTGTCCAGCAAGTAGGCGTTGGACAAGTTGTCAGTGAAGCCAGTTATCCCAACACGACCGGCCCCATCACGCCACTTTCCGCCAGGTCCAAAGACTAGGATGGCTACCGTGACTCCCAAGAGCTCTGCGCTGGCGATGGTCCTGAACGGCTCACCCTTCACGAAGAGGGAGGCAGCATTCCGACGATTCAGGACCACATGGAACCATCTCGCTGCCTTCGGGTCAGTCGACTCATAGGTCTCCCAGCCGCCAATCGCCACCTCAAGAACCGCGGGGTCACCGCTCAGCTCCCGCATGGGCGTCTCCTGCACCATCTCAACAAAGAAAGCCATCGCCAACCTGGTGGCCCAAGTGGAGCTCGAAGAAACTGCCACCTGTCACCTTGGCTGAGGCCGCATACAAGGGAGCCAAGAACGGCCGGGCACAGCCAAGAAGCCCATTCGTCCCAGGCCAGCGCGAAAATCACGCCCCAAGAGCTTGCCTTGCTCTGATGCCCAGGCGCACCATCTTTTCAACCATTCTATCTTCTTCGGCCCAATGCCCAGTCGCCACTGCTTGACGTCGACCGTGTAGCCAATCCACTCGGTCTGAACCCCCCCTCGAGGCCCTCGAGTCTTGGCCCATGACATCGGGATCTCCATGACCTCCACGTAGATGAAGAGGGCCAAAATCAACTTGTGGTAGTCGAGACCTCCGGAAAGGATCAGGCCGTCGTCGGCAAACAAGAGGAGATAGAATATGGCTTCAGGCGGGATGAGCTTGCGGTAAACTCGAAAGATAGTTCCAGCAACCCTCCCCCACCAAAATGCAGCCGAGGCGACACCGAAGGTTCCACGAGTGTTCACGTAGACCGTGTCCTCGTCCTCCAATCTGCAGGCTTGTAGTCCCCAATCCCGGGGATGCACCGGGATCAAACGGTGGGCCGCCTTGATATCGAAGGCCATCAGCATACGAGGTCCGCCAGCCTGGGCCTTAAAGGACTTGAGCATGGCCTCAACATCGTCATACTGAGGGAAAGCCATCTTATTGGGCTGGGTGACCTCCGTGTTGACATGGATTCCATGAGTCCCATCATGCACCACCCTGACATCAGCCCACTCAGCATCCTTCGGCACCGCCCCAAGCGAAGCCACCTGGAGCTCCTCACCATATCTATCCTGGCCTCCTCCAAGGTCAGCACCTGCATCCATCCTTTCTTCACGTCTTTGTCCACATGCTCCTTGACCTTGCCCATATGCTCCTGTGCCGAGAAGTAGTTCTCTCTCAGCTCCTCGCCAACCTGTCCTTCAACCCAGGCCACCGGCACGTGGTCATCCCCTCCTCGTCTTTCTTTCTTGTCGTAGACGGCTGGGATATGGGGAATCTCTCCCCTGACAGCCAATGGCACCCCAGTCGCAGCCACATCCTCCAAATACCTCCAATCGGCGTCTTCCACCAGCTCCGCCCAAGCCTGCAGTGTCCGGAAAGCTATTTCACTGTCTCGATCTGCCTTCTTGCGGCCAGGCTCATCCCCATCTCCACCAAGGCGGAATCCAAGTTGGCCCGGATCCCCCCGATCTTGTCCCGAAACGGAGACTCCGAATGCCTCCCCAGGGCCAATTCAGCCATCAAAGCCAAGCGCTCCTTCTTCGTCATGGCGTCCATGAAGCCAGTCACCTCCTCCCAAAATGCCTTTCTCAACCTTTCTCCTCGATCTGAGAGAGTGGCTCCTCTGTGACCGGCCGGCCGAATCCCAGGTGAGCTGAGACCCAGTGCACACGACGCGACTTGCCCTTGTACCACACCTGCAGGGGTGTCCAAGGAGCCACCCCGACCTTGCCTGCCGGCAACTTTCTGCCCACTCTTGATGCCGAAGTTGAACCTGTCTCCACATGATCATCAACCCTTTTTCTCTTCTTACTCTCTTCATGGCCTTCTTGTAGATGCCCTTCTGCCTGATCGTGCCCTGGAGATCCATGTCGATCATGCCCATGAGAACCTCCCGGGTTATGGTCGTGCCTATCCCCCCCCTGACCTCCTGGTGGATCACCTTGTTCGTGATTCGCTGAGTCCGTGGCCATGGCTGCCCTCTTTAGAAGGGCACGGAGTAGATGATCCGCTAACCATCTGTCCATCTCTGCAGGGTAGGCAGCTGCAGCTGAAGTAGCAAAAAGCCCCTTGGGAAGTCTTTCGAATCAAAGTTTGATGAGTCCGCCCGCATGTGCAAACTCCAAGAATGGCCTCGGTAGCGAGATCGATCAGAAAACTCTGGCATTCCACTGTAAATGTCCTGGACGAGGGATTGAATATCAGTCAAAAGCCTGGTAGGTTTGGGGGAAGGTGCCCCAAACTCACACTGGTAGAAGGCTCCTGAGAAGGCCTGCCCCAAGCGTACCCAATTCACAATGGGGAGGAGTTGCCAAATGGATGCCGGTCGAATGTCGTCGCCCCATCGTGCAGTGCTGCCCAGGTCCTCCGCGTGCTCTAAAATAAAGGGTGTCCCCAGCTCCAACGAAATTGTGATGGCCTGCAAACAAAGTTCCACCATGGAGTTGCTCTTGTTGACCTTATCTATTTTTGCCCCCTCCAGCCACGGAAAGCCCCAGGGGTGCATCGAAGATCGCAATGGCCTGGGGCCGTTGTCATTCGCACATGGTGCCCGCGACCGAGTGCCGCAAGGCGGTGACATGATGACGGCGTCGTAGCCGCCGCTTCGAAGGGTCGCCAATATCCTCTGGCGCAGTGCTTCATGCAGTAGATCATGCTCTGGATCTTTAAGGATGTCGAATTCGTCCGCCGTGATGGTGACCCCCCTCTTGGAGGCGAGTCTCTTCAAGCACTTCACTAATCCTGTGTCACGTTCGCGACCAGCAAATAGGTAAAGCACCTTGTAATGCTTCTTCTCCTCCGCCGGTGGGGCCGAGGCCCCTAGTCACTCCTTTGGGTCAAGGTGCTCATGCATTGGGTGCCCCGGGTCCAGGCAGACAGGCAGATCCTACATGCATGAACTCGTCCGCAACCTCCCTGACAGCCCTCCTGCTTGTTGTTGTAAGCGAAGCAAATCTGCCTCCCGTCGGATGTCGACCCATGCAGCCCCGGCCCCTTTGCTTTTCCCTTCGCCCGATCGCCTTTCTTGCCTTTTCCTTTTCCTTTTGTGAACTTGCCCTTCGCATACGGTGAGTCGGAGTGGTGTAGTCGATCTTGTCCCCGTCCACGAGCTCCCCATCCATCTCGAAGGCTCTGCGCCGCCGAGCTGACCGTCAATGGCGCGCTGAAGTACCTCTCCCGGATGTCGGGATTCCTGACGATGTCCTTCAGGGCCTGCACGAAAGTGATCCCTTTGTTCACCTCCTCCATGGCTTCCTTCCGCATCTGGAACTCATAGTTCAAAATCAGCTTCAACGATGGGCGGTGAAGGGGTACCCCATCAACATTCTGAGCCTCCAGCTGTGACACATGCTTTGAACACATGTAGTTGAGGTACTCGATAGCCACGAAGGGTGTGATGTCGTCCAATACATTCCTATGAGGGTACCTGAACCTGGCGAAGATGAAGTGGTTGATCATCAGCATGACCTTCGTCCTGAACTCTTCCATATTGCTAGGGTTGTTCGTCTCCACCCTTGCCTTCTTGATCTTCACCTGTCCTGACTTGGCCATGAGCAGATTGCCAGCCTCCGCCTCCTCATCTTCATTCCTTGATCCAAAATGATTGAAGCGCCATGGCCCTGAACTCGCCCTGGTCCAACTGTTCATAAATGTCCTCGAAGCTGGGCTTGCCAGGGCACTCACCATCCTTAAGCTTGTAGAACTTCTTCTCGAACTCCTTCCTGTAGAGTTGTAGGTCAACAGGAGGAACATTCTTTGGGATCTTCTGCACCGCGGCCTCGGCATCCATCTCATCCTGGACGCTAATCCTCTTTCCTGCTGACTGCCATGCCAAGTACAAAGCAGCCAGGCGAATGGCGTCCTTCGGACGTACGTCCGTGTCCAACCCAAGTCCATCCTTGGCCAATTCGGCCAGTGTCTTCCGGTCGACCGCGATGGCGGCCAGCATGGCCCCCAAGTCGTGTAGACTGCCTTGTCCACCGAACGGGCTTCCAACAGCCCTTGTAGATCCGGGTTGAGGTTCCCGATCTTCTCATCCTCCGTGAGCGCCATCATGGCTCCACCGCCCTCCGAGCGGCGAGAGGTTCTCCCCCTCTCCGGACTAGGGCTTCCTGCCCACAGACCCCTTCCCAGGCCTTCGAGCCAAGCGACATCGATCACGAGTGGCGGCCGAATCAACGTCTCGTCACGCGAACCCGAACCCGAGAGGTGGGGAGAGGGGTGAACCATAACCCGAACCCGGTGCCCAATGGGCCCACCCGAATCTCCCTCTCAACTTTTCCAGCCAAATTCACTTCCAGTCACGCCTCGTTTTCCGAGGAGTCCATCACCGAGGACGAAGATTCAGAGGTAGCGCCCTCCTCCTCGCCGTCGTTGCCCCGAAGGATCTCCGCCATCTTGGCTTTCGTGCCAAAGCAAACTCCACAGAGCTTCTCGCCCTCCAACGCCGTGACCTCCGGCCTCTCCTGGCCCACCACCACGAAGTTGTGGTAGCGCACACCTGGAATCCTGAAGCACTCCCCAACCAGATGCAAGGTCCCGCTGCGGGAACGCCCCAAGACAGACATGATGTAGGCTACGGTGCCCTTCGGGTACAAGCTCTCCGGCCGATGATCGGGTTCTTCTTCCATATCACTGATCACCTCAGTTGGCGAGGGCGGCTTCGAGCCCGGAGAAGTCGGCGGTGCCCCACCCTCCTGACGGCGCCCAGGTCCTGGCTTCAGCACCAATCCACAAGACTCACGTCCAGGCCACATAGGTGGCGTCAGCGGCATCGCCAGGTCTGTGGCCTCCTCCAGGCTCTTGTCGAAATTCTCCTGAAGCCACCTGATGTAGTTGTTGATCACTGACTTGTCGTCCAAGAAGTCGGAAGTCCGGTAACTGCCCCTGATCTTCTGGGCCACCTCACCCTGCGCCGTGAGCACCACCTTCTTGGTCGTGACCGCATAGTCCTCGTCCACGCTCGGGCTCCACCTTCCCCATCGCCGCCTGACTTCCTTCGGCGCCTCTGCAACCAATGCCCAAGACATCATGGTCACCCGCTCCGAATGCTCAGACCAATGGCCCGTTCCTTCCGGGCTCATGAGCAGGCGCCTTCCACCACCTCTTTCCTGCATGCTCGATGGCAACTCCGACAAGAGGGCACGCGAGTAGGCCATGGCGTCCGGGTACCTCATCATTGAATGCCCAAAACCATGGAGATTCTCGCTGGGCCACGCCATCAGGAAGTCCCTGCTCTCCGACTTGGAGTCCTTGTTCATCGTGAGGAAGAGCTCATAGCCAACCCTCAGCCAGTCCCTCTCGAAGACCCATGCGTTGACCGAGATGTGGAACTGAACCACTTCTACTCGACGGCCGGCCCCCGTAGTTTTGCTCCTCATGATGTCCCCTTGAAGCCCAATCCCAAGCTCCCAGGACAACGTAGCCGGGGGAACCCCCTCGGCGTCGTGTGGCACGGAGGGCACGCTTCGGCCGCAAGGTTCTTCAAGACGTGCATTGATGTAATGCATCAAATCCTTCGGACGCCGAAGCCATTGAACTCCATGGGCTCCTTCCATGTACTCCTGGATCCTCCGGGCGTGCCTGACATGTTGGCGGATCGTAGCTGCCCGCCTTCCCATCGCATAGCGGCTTGCGACGTACTCCATGGCCTCGAACTCCTTGTCCTGCTTTCCCAGGTAGCCCGCCTCGTGTAGCAGGTTGTTCAACTCCTTCACCCACCTGTCCCGCTCAGCCTGCTCGATCTTCTCCCGTTGATTATTGCCCGTCACCTTCGCCGTGAGCCTCTGCAATCTTGTAGTCCAGGTAGCCTTTGGCATCAGCTTTCGTGCCAACTCCATGGCTGCTCCAGCCTGAGCAGGTGTCCTTGCCAGCTGCCGGTCCACGAACTTCTTGTCCTTGAACAACAAACGTTGATGGCTCAGGAAGATGCCATCCTCCAAGTCCAGGCGCCGTCTCTGCCGTTTCGCCTCCCGGTACAACTCGGAGTAGTCCTCCTCGTGCCATTTGTCCGCTAGCCCCGGCAGCAGGCCACGGACTTCTCCCTTTGGCATTCCATCAAAGAAAGCCAAAGATTGGGGGTCCCACCCTCGTTCGAGTAGGACCCCCACCGCTCCGGCAGCCGGCATGGCAACCAGATGCCGGGTCCCGACTCCTTTTCGAGCCCGAACTGCGTTCATTGACACGTTTCGTTTTACTTTGTATGACTATACATATCTGAAACTCAGCTAGGCCCGAAGCCAGCGTACAGCTGCACTAGTCACACAAAACAGCAACAGACTACAAGCATTGTGCAAAAATTGTGCCTGGAACTCATTTTCAGTGATGCATTCTGCTGCAGACTCCCTGGTGCCATGAAAGAGCCAAAGCCTTAGCAACGATGTGGCGACATGAAATTAGACACACTAGTGACAAAGGGCATCGCTACTAGTAGCAAGGACTACTACTTGTAGCTCCTGGCCTTACTACTAGGAACAAGAAGCTATTACTAGCAAAGGGCATTTCTACTAGGAGCAAGGACGATACTAGTAGCACGAAATGGCATTCCGTCTTAGCAGGGCAGCTCGTTGGCCTTCAGGCTCAGCTCTTTCACACTGAGTTCCTTGGAGAAGCGCCAAGCTTTGTGAGAGACCAATGAACCGCATAACTGCGTTTTTCTCCCTTTTTGTGGCAGAACGGTGGCCAAAGTGTTGACTAAATCTGTGTAAGCTCAGTTCTGCAGACATCAACTGGCGGTAGGCCCACATTTTAGACAGGAATGGCTGCAGCACGTTGGTCCCACGATTGTTGAGGACCGTCCTGCAGCGCGGGCCAAACCATGCCAGACCTGGAAACAATTAATAGTCTCCTTAAAAACAGAGTCGCGTGAAAAAATAAAAACCGAAACCTCGCAGTTGATGACAGATTCTGTAATCAAAGTCACTAAAACCGTTCAGTGTAGCTATGGGGTAAGGGCATAGAAGCTACTAGTAACAAGGGCATCGCTACTAGTAACAAGAAGCTACTAGGGGCTCCTGGCCTTACTACTAGGAGCAAGGATGCTACTAGGGGCTCCTGCCATCGCCACTAGGAGCAAGAAGCTACTACTAGTAGAAAAAGGAATGAACTGGCTCGCGCGCTGTTGCGAAAAGGGCGTCGGTGCCGGCCCTGTGATCCGGCAGCGCGCTTTTCAGACAGACGGGCATTGCCATTCAGTATGTGTTCAAACCTTGGGGCTCACAATTCGCTATTTACAGCAACCTAGTATCGTTAAAAGAGAATTGCACTGTGGGCGACAAGGCGCAGTGAGTGGCTGAATGTAAAAGAAACAATTTCAGCAGGCTGACACTTAAGAGAAACAGTTGTCATAGCAAGCAACAAGAAGCTAGTAGTAACAAGTGCCACGCTAGTAGTAACAGGTGCCTTACTAGTAGTAACAAGAAGCTAGTAGAAACAATACAGTTGTCATTGCAGAATTCGCATTGGTGGCCGGTGCAGTGGTCCATCCGTCCTACAAACTTGGTGTCTTTTCCTTTTAAAAAGAAAGACGCTACTAGTAACAAGTGCATCGCTACTAGGAACAAGGGCCTTACTACTAGGAACAAGAAGCTACTAGGAAACAATATTAGAATTTAATTAGAATTGAATTAACTTAGAATTAGACTTTGTAAAGATCTTAAGAGGACTCTAGTAGGTTGGAGGCCATTCGCTACTGGCCATCGCTAGTAAGTTGGAGGCCATCGCTAGTAGGTTCATCGGCCCTAATCATAGCTTGGCCCCACTCAATAGCTTTAGCAAGCAAACTCAGGTTGTCTAGCGCCTTTTGGTCTTAGGTGATATTAGTCCCCTGGTCTTAGAGCACGTCTGGTCTTGAGCCTTTGATTCTTGGATGTAATACTCAATAGGTTTGCTGTGCTTTTGCGGCTGTGTTTCCCATCTACCAGGCAAAGCCGCAGCCCTTGGCTGCCTAGACCAGTCCTCTTCGGCCGAAAAGATGCTAAGGCAGGCCGTTCCTCCTCATCAACTGGCTCAAGGCACATCTCATTGCCTTCTTCATCTATGAAACCTGCGCTGCTTCTGCTGTGCTTCTGCGGTGATTGCAAACATGCAATGGCGGTCGAGAAATCAACCTTCAAGCACGCTTACACCTCTGGTGCTGCGTTTGGCACACTTCTGGAACTTACACTAAACCCTGGATCAGTCTGATCGAACATGAACTGCCCGTTGCTTCCTTATCCTCCAAAGGCCATAGTCTTCAGGCTACGAGATACAAACCTCTTTTCTAGCTTTTGGCACAACCAACTCAGCAACTCACGGGAACTGTCACTTGTGCCTAAAATTGCGAGACATTCAAAGAGAAGGCTGCCAGGGACCAAGTTTTATGTAAAAGTTGGCATATGATTACAAACGTCCAAGTTTTCTGCAATGGAGTTCACAATTCAGAAAATGTGGGCGCCTTTGAAGGTTGTTGACTGAATGTCACCATGAGGCCTCAAAAGCAACAGTTCCAACTATGTGAAGGAAGGTGGCAAACAAATTCTTGAGGTTCCCGACTCCATCCATATCGGATAGAGCTCACCAACAGCATGCCTGCAAAGTCAGAATTGCAACGACTTGATAACCTTTGGCAATGTTTCAAGAAAAAACCGGCTGCACCATCAAGCAAGGAGAATATGTAAAATGTCACTGAACAGTAATTCCAACCACGGACGCAGTTCCACAATGTTAAGGTGTTATATAAGTGGGAAGACCTGAGGCACCACGCAGGAGGAACGAAGGTTCACGCCATTCTCCAAAAAGTTGACCTTCCTCTTGTAGGACTTGAAGTTCTCGGTCAAACCAGGCACATCCTGCAATGCATGGCGCCATTTTGTCTGCACAACGCAACGCCCCCTCAATCGACACGCAATGTTGGTTCATATTGCCTTCGATGCTGCTGTTGCAATCCCAGAACGCTTGCGGTTTAGTAGTCTCAACACAATGGGAACCTTTGCGACAATCATAGATATGCGTTTCTGCCCGAAAAATGCAATAATCGAAAGATTTCGTGCCAAATGAGCATTTTTTGTAGGTTACAGTGATAAACATTTTCACAACCCATGCCTGACATTCTTGCATGTTTCCAATAAACAAGCCCTCTTGGCCTCCAACAGCATGCACAGCAACATTATCATGTTGTTTTAAGGAAACATTACATCAACACATTCCACCTCCTGCTATGAAAAATAATGTGTTTGTTTGCATCTTCTCTTGTTGCCCCTGCGACCGTTTAAGGTCCAAATCTTTAACCCTTGTCAAATCAAAGCCATAAGTTTGTTCATTACGTTGGCGTCACGAACGGATTCCGAACATTAGTTGCAAACGGCACCATTGGGAAAGCCAATGCCCATTGTAAACTCAATCAATGACGTCACAATAAAGAACCGCACTAAAACAGAGAATCTGGCCCCCCTAAACTCATGCGATGCTGCGATCACTGCCCGAAGGTTGAAACCAAGTGGAACCATTCCACCTAATCCTTCAGGTCAGTCAAGGCATTGACCAAACTGAGTATACTAGTTGCAGTGATGCAGGCTGTATATGTAAGTGGCACAGCATCTGACAACGCCTCCCTGGCCAAACTTCTGGGAGAAGTTGCACTGCACGCCTCTAGCTTGTGCCCGTTTCGAGTAAGGAGTGTTATCACGCCAATCGCTCCAACACGTTCCAATGCCTTGAGGCTGGACTTTGCAAATCAAGTCCATCCTGTGCCACATATGTTGGTATCATTTTTCTTGACATTTACAGTACTTGCTTGCATCTTCTGTGTTCAAAGAAGATTCCTTCGATCCATTGGCTGGCATTTGGTGGTCCCGGCCGGCCGGGAATTTCAACGGAACTTCTGCTTCCACAACTTGTTATTCTTCTTCGGCAGCCAATCCATGAAACCAACTGATATTGCTCTATGTTCATTGCTGCCAACTGCTGGGAAAGCATCGCCACGCACTTCTGTTCGCAATTCCCTGACTGGACGATAGCAAGAAGTCTACATCGATGAACATCTCCGTGACTCTTTATTCTGGTGCTCCAGATTCTGAATGCAACTGCCAGCGTTTTGGTGGCTGATCTCAGCCCGTGTCTTCAGATAAAACACGAATTATCCCATGTTCCTGTCTGTCCACTGAACTTGTCAGGCTCTGGAGCGCCATTGGGCTCTGAGCGAACTTGAACATCAACGCTTGCTTCGATGCTCTTCGTGATAGCCGTTTGTTGAGCGTAGGCGTCTGCCATTGCTCTCTGCAACCGGCCCTGTCCCGCAGCCAACGCGTGCATCGCGCAACTCCATCTGCTGAAACATTGGCACCGTGTGCTCAAACTTGTCCTCCTTGTCCTGCTGCTTCTTGTTGCTCGGATCTCCGGAGCCAAGCTTGAACCGGCTGGGCTCTGACCACAGCATCGCTACCAGCGGAGAATTTAGGCTAATGCGGTGCGATACTGAGATCACTATGCCCAAAGGTTGAAGTCAAGCAGAACATTCTGTTCATCTGACCCTGGAGGTCAGTCAGGTTTGAACAAGCAAAAACGGATGCAGCCAACATCTGATCACAGATAAAAAGGCAGATTGTTCGTCCAAATTGCCAAATGCTGCAACAGCTAAGCGTAAATTTGACATATGTATACATATGTGTATACAAGACATACTATGACAATGCAATGGAGTGGTGCGTTTCTACGACCGCCATGGCGTTGCAACTTGTGACGGTTGGAGCCATTGACGGTGTGCATGATGTCATCTTTCATGCCTACACCCAAACAAGTCATATGCCATCGCACCTAGTAGCGATGACCTCCAACCTACTAGCGATTGCCAAACAAGTGAATGTGACTGGTCCTGCCAACTTGATTGGGCCCCATGAACCGCCCTGTGCTTAGCAGGTTGTCCCTCATAGGCTGTCATTCATGTTTGGATGATGCTACGACTTTTGTACCTCTATTCCACAAGCCTGCCCTGCCTCAAGATTGTCAGAAGAGGCAGCTAAGTAAAGCTGCTTAGCACACACGACTTGAAAAAATGTTCCCATCAATATCCTAAAGTTCGAAACACCTCGACTCGTGTCCCAGGCCTCGTCGCGCAGACCTCCCAAGCCTCCTCTCATCCAGCCACGCAGCACCTTCTCGAAAGCCATGCGGGCTGAGGACCAGCAGAAAACCTCAGAAAGGCATGAAAAAATTGCCTCCAACCTACTAGCAATTCGTATCCGCGGGGAGCTTAGGATCACGTCTCGCGCCTTCCTGTTTTGGCATCCTTCATCGCACCGTTCAGTCGAGCAACTGCCAAAGACGCGCCAAAATCCTGCCAAACAAACCCACAAAAAGCGATTCGAAACATTCTGGCCCGTCGAACAACTACCGGTGCAATCTGTTTGACCGCACAGTTTTCTACCAAATCACGCTTACAAAAAGATAAAAGGCCATCGCTACTAGGAGCAAGAACGCTACTAGGGGTTCCTGGCATCGCTACTAAGAGCAAGGACGCCACTAGGGGCTCCTGGCCTTACTACTAGGAGCAAGACGCTACTATTACTAGGAACACGCGACCTCATTGCGACAACTTCATCTGCAGGCCTTGCAAGGTCTCACGGCGTGTCCAATGGGTATGCTCGGCCCGCTTCTCGCAGTACCACACCACCGCGTCACCTTGCTCAAAAGGAATGCGAAAACAATTGCGGCAAAACCAAATAGCAACGGCCTCCAACCTAGAAGCGACGGCCTCCAACCTACTAGCCGTCTTGTTACTGGTATTAAGAATGCTCCTAGTAGCGATGCCAGGAGCCCCTAATAGCGTCCTTGCTCCTAGTAGTAAGGCCAGGAGCCCCTAGTAGCCTTCTTGTTACTAGTGCCTCCAAGAAAACAAAGGCAAAATCGGAACATACAAAGTGCCCCCTGAGGCCGTGAAGAGGTCTCATTGTGGCTGGACAAGTGGCCAGAGTCATCAAACCTGAGGCGATCGCCCCAAGCACAAGTGAGATGTGAGAAGATGTGAGATAGCCAATTCACTGGCTTCAAGGGAACAAGAGGACATCGCTACTAGGAGCAAGGACTGTATTCCAACCTACTAGCGATGGCCTTGACGTGAGATGTGAGATGTGGTCCTTGACGTCAAATCTTAGGCCTTGGCCATCCGTGCCATTTGTCCTTCACAAAAGCTTTTTCCTGCGGGGCCTCTGTGCCATCAAAGTCCTCAGCCAAGGAAAGCAAAGCCTGACGTGTGCCCAAGGTGCACCCAACGCCCAAGGTACGCCCACTCATGCCTAGCATCATCGTCCTTCACTCGCTTCTTCACTTCAACTAAGAACCTCAGGCCCCACACATGACTCCAATGGAGTCACCCTGGATTGGAATCACATCTTCGCCGAATGGAAACAATACCTTCTTAGGACTCCTAAGCCGGAAAAAACTTCTAGTAGGACTTCTAGTAGGGTGGAAGCCATCGCAATTAGGTCTTAGGACCCCTAGGCCGGAAAAAAGTCCTTCCCAAAGCTTGTCCGAGTCTTGGCCAAGCGACTGCACTTGTGGTGAGTCACCTCAGGGTGCCAGGACGCGAGAAGAACCTTTTTGCGCCGTTTCTGCCGAGGAGCCCCTAGTAGCCTTCTTGTTACTACTAGTAAGGCACTTGTTACTACTAGCTTCTTGTTACTATGGCTTTGAATGTGGCTGAGTTTGCTGAGAGGTCTCTCCTTTTCTAAAAGAACACAATTCAACAAAAGACGGTCCTTTTCATGTGAATTGGAGGCCATTGCTCTTAGGTTGGAGGCCATCGCTAGTAGATTGGAGGCCATCAATCCTTTTCATGTACAGGAATTCTTTTGAGTCTTGCTTGCTAATTCTGAAAAGAAATGTTTGGGCGCCTTCAGTGGCTGGGACATGGTCTAGAGCTTGGCTTCTAAGAACTCACGACATGCATTCCACATTAGATCCAGACATCCTTGATACCTACCTTGCAGTTTGCTTTCTTAGCACTCTGTTTGTTCACTGTAAATGCGCGACAACTGAGTGACAAACCACCTAAAACAAAAAAAACAACAAACCAATGGACACGTATGTGTTCTGGTTTCGAAAAAAAAAGAACATGCCAATGGACACGTGGGGAACATATGGGATGGGTTAGTAGTTCTGGTTTTTGGAATTCTTGGTCTCGACAAGCACCTGATCCAGGAGGTTTACATTTCTTGCATGGTCTTGTTTACAAGTGAACGCCTAAGGGGGGAATGTTGTTGTTGAATCTTCACACTATGATGTCATGTGTGTGTTCTTGGCCATGTTTATATAGTCGGTTGACACTTTTAGAACTTTCACCTGAACTGACTGCCCTTCCCGGATGTTCTTGAAAGTTATTTTCAATGCCATGATGAGAAACAAACACGTGCATGCTCGCTGTGGCCTACCCTCTCAAGAAGAAACGGGTTGCCAGCAACTCGACAAAATCCAAACCTTCGAGCGGATGGACAACTGGACTGGCATTCACCGGCTTCAAGTGATAGTAATCCTGAGCCACGTGGTGAACCAACAGTTTCTGCCAAACGACGGCTTGACTATCAACAACAAATTGGTTGTAACAAAAATAGTAGTAACCCTAATGAACCCAACTAAAGAATGTATCACAAAAATACATCTAATGTATTTGTGTTTGCTCTGCAGGACGTGCGTCTTGCACCGAAATCAAAAAAGGGATTGCAAAAAGTAATCTCATCATCAGCTTCTCAAGGTGGTGGCAGCAAGGTGGTCAAAGAACTCCCCAAGAAAACGTCCACAATCAAGATAAACATCTCTCAAAAGAAACTCATGAGTGGCTGTTGTATACCAACTGTAATGCACTTGGAATACAAGTTTGGTTCTGCATGCTGGGCATTCTGTGCAGCAAACAAGCATGAAAAATAGAATAACGACGAGATTGTTTGTTTAAAATGCAAGCATACATTCTATATTTATATATGATTTTCCAACATCAGGCTGTACCCAATATCGATTAGGTACGACCCAAATTTCTAAAAAAGGTGGCACCATATGGCACCTAAATGAACTTACGTAATAGCGATGGCCTCCAACCCAATAGCGATGGTCTCCAACCTATATAATAGCAATGGCCTCCAGCGGCCTCCTACCTAATAGCGATGGCGGGCCCATGACGCAGGAGTCATGGGATACTGCTTGGAGGTCACCGCTACTAAGTTGGAGGCCATTGCCACTAGGTTGGAGGCCATCGCTATTAGGTTGGAGGTCATCGCTACTAGGTTGGAGGCCATTGCCACTAGGTTGGAGGCCATCGCTATTAGGTTGGAGGTCATCGCTACTAAGTTGGAGGCCATTGC